ATCAGAGAGCGGATATAGAAGGAATATAGTAGCAAAGTGAAAGACCAAAGCTAAACTGAACTGAAGCGTCATTGACTTCCCACGGAAAAAAGAAACGCGTAGCGAGGATTTGTTCGAGCGGAAAACTGCCGCTCGATGTATGCAAACGTCTCTTCCATGTCTTTTAGAGCCGATAGGGTGACAACGGGCGTGTCGTGTCGCCCGAGCGACAAACAGAACCGGCGACCCTGGATAAGAATTGTCATGGGATTCGGAAAGAAGTCGAAGGGCGATTGCAGTGACTTTGGCAAGAGTAACAGGACTCCAATTAGCAAGACTGATAACAGTCCGCTGATACATAATACTCGAATGGCCAATGGCGATACATCAAGACGATATGCAGAGAAAAGTTGAAGTCTAGGGCGTGAAGGGACAATAGATGTCAGCCGGTTCTCATGGTAGGACCAAGATAGCAGATCTAAGTGGGCCATGCCGCGCTACGGTTATGGCGGCATAAAACGCTCTGGAGTACCGAGGGCGGCAGTCGCTGGGTCGGAGTCAAGTTGAGTGCAGAGAGCCCCTTTACGGCCGAAAAAACTGCCACTATCATTGTCTATGCAAATTGTTTAAGATATCCACCAGGACCGTTCCGTGTCTTTGCGGTTGTCATTTACTAACTCGAATTCTGACTCCAGAGGTTCTCAATTGAGGTTTAAAAAATTGCGAAAAATACATCATACTGCTGTAGCCTGTTTGGTAAACTGTAACACTGCTAAGATGATTATAGATATTTCTCCAAGTAGACACGCCTTCACGCTTGTACTTATATGATGTTAAACTTTACACAGTGAGCTGATCTGAACTTCATCTTTTATCTTTGCCGGAAATCTCGCGGTCACTTCTTAACTTTTTAATACCTGACTAATTCAAAGATTCTCCATCTTCGATAGCGTGCGTTTAAGTTTGACCCAAGAATCTGTATGTGGATAATGGTATCGCCGCCTTGTGGTTCATAATATAGATAATATATTGTACTGTATGATATAGTTCCTATACGACAACGAAGACTGCCAAGGATAAGGAATTTCTATGGATAACCCATGATATCGGGTAAACCATGTGTACGTATAAAACGTAAAGATCTTGAATATCCAAAAAGTTGTGACCGAGAGATAAAAAACTTCACGAGTGCCAGAAATCGTGAACGAGGTCGATGATTAAGGGAGTTGCATACTCCAGTAGAAAATAGTTACTTTACGCAGTCTTAAAATTTGCACAGTTGCTTTTCCAGGTCAGGAATGACGCAGTCGTTTCGGCTGCGTCATCCGATACGTGGCTCCTCTGGCGTGCAGTACGGAAACTACTGGCAAATGTAATTTCGTAGAATGTTTCCATTGATATAAGAAGACTGCGGGATCTCGGCTCGTCTACGGGGGACCTGCAGGAGGTTGGGTCGGGTAGAACGTGGAAGCAGCGAGAGGATGACAGAGGCTATTGAGAGAAAGAAAGGGAGAAGAGTAAGAGCAGGAGAAACGATATAGGAACTGGTAGGAAACTGCAAGCTAGACGGATATATCTCCCGAGTAAATTAAAATGGATTATATATGTCGACTCCATCTTCAATCTTTCTTCTTTCCTCTCGTTTACTTTATCGCCCCAGCCGGTGGGGTAATTGTTATTGCACAGAAATGAATTTGCACTCTTGACTTCTACATGGCGAAAAAGTCGTACAGTGATAATCACCGTGCAGTAGGAGTTAAGCTATACGTATGAAAGGAGGATCGGTAGGAATCTTCCAGCAGAAAGTAAAATAAGCAAAAAAGAATAATGATAAAAAGTAACGTATAAAGAAGATTTATCCAAAAACAGATAAAATAATATTACACTTTCCGTAGATATCATCGATTTCGCAAACACATTCCAAGTTCCCGTAATACGTACCCGGAGTCGCATAATCCTCTCGTGAGGATATAGAGTTTCGCGAAATTAATTGACCAGCCTAACGAAACGTATGCAAATTGAAGATTCGGTATCGCGGACGGGTTTTCGCAGCGCCATCTTCGGTCTTTTCTTATTTGAGGTTCTAGCACGAGTGGACGCGTGTCCCAACATTCGGGGGCCCATTGGCACCGGCTTAGAGGTGGTTCTCACGGTCCTGTTCAAACGACTGTTACCAAGACAGAAACGTCGGCATGAAAGCGCGTTTACGATTCTGCAAAGCTAACGCGAGCATTAGAAACGCAGCCATAGCCGGAGTAGAGCAGAGTCAACCATGATGTATGCTTCTCTTCCGTCTAATTAAACTTAGGGAGAAGGGTCCCTCCTTCCAGGGTTGGTTAGTCGGATAGCTGTAAGGGTGGCAGAGGGAGGGCTTTCAAAATGACAACCGGAGAGACGCCAACCTTACCCAACGCTACAGCACGCAGTCCCAAATAGTTCCGTGTCGCGTTGTCTCCCGGACGGAATGGAATTATTTCATTGTTAGATAGGAGCACAGAAGCCACGGGCCAGATGCGCCCTGTCTTTTGTCCTTCTCAAGCATACCAACCGAACGGAGTTTATACTATAGCCAAAATAAACCAAGGAACCTATCAAGATATCCAATACCTGCATAACGTCTAACCTACACCTAACAAGCTTCTCGATCTCCGGCATCGTCCCAGTCCAGGTACTACCACCGACTAAACGTACTCCGGCACTTCCGGTGCTCTAGCCATATCGCCAGACAATATCGGCCAGGTCGTGCCCACAGGATACCAAAATGGAACTCGAGGTACAGAGCGCCAAAGAGTGAGAGTACGAGAGCCAAGAGCAATGGCGGGTGGGTACGAGAAGAGGATGGTCGGTTGGAATCCGCGTAACAGGAATGAAATTTAATCAAACCGGTGTGTCGGTAGATACGGTGTGCCCGCGGTCGAACAAATATGCGCCAGCATAGCACGCCGGAGAGCCAGGGATTCCGCCTCCATCAAATTAATTTAATTTATATCTGGCTGTCCGAGGCGGTCCGGAGATGCGGTTACCTCTCTCTCTCTCTCTCTCTCTCTCTCTCTCTCTCTCTCTCTCTCTCCCCCCTCTCTCTCACTCTCTCATACTCATTCTGTTCGTGTCGGCTCTCCGTGTGACTCCACCGCTCTCATCACCCTATACTCACCGACGGCGCACACTTTGCTCACGAAAAGCAGGGATACTGCAATCCGCGAGCCTCTGTCAATGTACGCGCGAGATCCTCTCCGAAGAGCATGAGAGAAGAGAATAATTCGAAATGGACCAACGGGCAATGCATATTGGCTCGCAGCGGTAAATTCCTTGGCGCGAGATCCCTGCGATCCGAAATGTTTAACGTACAAGTGAAACGAGCTGGGCAGGTCCGGCATTCTTGACATTTCGACGAAAGCATAATAAGATCTAGAGTCGTTAAGATTCAAAGTTTCTACTCCAAAGCGTCGTTTATTAAACTATAATCCCTATATGGCACCGCTTATTGAGACTGCATATAGTAATTCTGATACCTATATGTGATAGAGTCTACTATGTCTATCGTAACTAGTAGGGAAAAAACGAATGCTTGGAGCCACCGATTACGCAAGCATTCCGGACGCATATTAATTATACTCTTAGGTACATATACAGTGCTACCAGGGAATACAGAGTCAGTATATTATGGTCGTTTAATCGTCTGTAATCACAGCAAGATAGACGCAACTAAAGTAGTATCGCTTATTCTGCGTGAGTCAGCAATGTAAAGACTATGATCAGGTGAATTTACAAATTTGGCAAATCAACTGAAGATCTTGTGATTTTTGGCACAGAACTATATTATACTCTCACGAACGGTGAAACCATATTATAGGCTCGTGAACTTTGCAGTTATTTCAAGAGGTCTGGTATTGATAAAACATTTCGAAATCACGATCGAGTCTCTCGTAAAAGTCCCTTAATGATTCAGGTGCTTAATTTTCTCTTGTTTTAACAACTTTTCTATTTATTCCTCGATAAACTCCACGTTAATGCTCATGAGGAACCGATGTCGATCGAATTAACGTTCCACGGACGATTTGGCTTGACTCTACATTATCAACGTCTCGACGAGTTTAACATCGTCTGAGAAAGAATTCGATCAAAGAGTACCGACATCCTTGATCGCGATCGGAAGAATCTTGAATCTTCTCACGCGATGCGGCCGAACCAGGCAAAATTCGTCTTTTCACGAACAGGTTATACAGAGACTGTGTGATCGTGCATTAAACCGTAAATCCACTATAGCAAGCGTCATAAGCAATAGAGAGTCCCCGTTCTATACCAGGCAATGGTTTGCCAGGGGTTGCCACCCCGATGTGGTAATAGCATTAACCAAGCTGCAATATGATTACCGCTCGCTCGCAAGGTAACCTGATCACACCCGAAATCTACGGGTTGTTCGGCATAGCAAGCGCATTACACAACTACTGTGGCCTGAGCCAAGGGGTGTATACAGTATAAGGCCTAATCGCGTTGCGCTTTTTGCGGCTCGGATTACCCGTGAATCATTAGAAACGAAGGGGCTTGATTTGTCGGATGGATTTTGGGGTGACATCGGGCCGCTCCTTATCTCTGTATTAGGAGATTAAGTCCTGGCATCAAGCTTTAATAATTTTTTTCATCGACGGAACAAAGACGCGAACTGGCTTTCGGAATTAAAAAAAAGAAAAGATCTTGTATGTCCTAAGACCGATGCCAACTCTCTGAGTATATATATATATAGTATATCCAAGTGTGATTGTTTATGTTCTAGAGTGAAAATCATCAAGTCGAATGCGTAAATTGTCAGGAGGCAGAGAATTATTCTCTCCCTCTCTCTCGCTCTGTCTCGGACGCTTCTCTGTTTTCTCTCTAGAAATATACTCCTTTGTCCGTTTCAAGATCCAAAGAGCGAAACGTCCACGTGAATCGTCGCAATGACTAAAGGCGACGTACAATGTCGCTCTACGTATATTCTTGGTTTGCAGCTAGTTGCTGCAGTAAGAGAGGTGGAGACTCACCGTGAGGTGTTGGAAGAGCCACGCCCTGAGGATGTTGGTCGCGACCTTGGGGAAGATACCCCTCTTCTTTTGGTTCTTCTTTCCCGACGAGTCGTCATCTTCCTCGCCCGTCCCTTCGCCACTACCGATACTCGCGTTACTCGCGTCACCTGAAACAAACCGCAAACAAAATAAATTCACTTCTCCTCTCATACTAAGAGACGACTGATTCTCAAGTAACGCGTCGTCCTTGTCAACGGACGCATTCGACAAGAACCGACTGACTAATTTATGACAAATGGATTATACGTGTACAGGTGTATATATTACAGGGATAGACGAAAATCTTCTGGCCGGATCCATTTCGAACGTTTCTATTTTAGACTTAATACAGTCAAATCCTCACCCTTCGACCCCGGGCGCCAGTTCCCATGCATACAAACACCATTAAGCCACCCGCAATCACCCACTTTTAGCCCTTCGACCGTTCAGCCTCCCCAAACAGGCTTCCATACCCTGGACCTCTAATCTTTCTCTCTCTCCCTTTATCTCCTTCACTCCGCTGTAGACTCTATATACTCTTTCCTGTTCCACTCTGGAGTCTCTACACCATCCCGTGCATTAATTCCCCGTCATTTATCAATCTTAGCTTTTTAATTGCAAGCGACTCCCGGTCTCCAGAGACTACGAGGGCCTGGAGCGAGAGGGTATAATGAGAGATATTAAGACGACCTAGGGCGTCGTATCTACGTGAGCCAATTATCATTTTTATAAAATAAACTAACTGCAAATGCTCCTGTCAGGAATTTCACTGGGACTCTACTCGTGTATATACATATATAGATTGCAGGAAATTTATAATTCGATTCTCATACCGGTCACGGGTTACAGGTTCTGGGGGTTGAGGGAGAGGGATTAGTTTTTCGCATTTTCTCATTTTCTTCGATTCGTACAACGATCCCATACTGGCGTCACTCTTAGCAACGGATTATAAATGACCGAGTCTTATCGAGTCAGAAACGTTCCCGTGGTCGTGGTTCTATCGTAACAGAGAGATCAGGGAGAGTACGGTATTCCCAGAGGGTTCCCGATGACAGGACGCCCGGGGCGTACGGTACGCGCACCCTCCCCGCAGTGGTCTCGTGGCCGAGATTAACTTTGAATTCGTCGATAGTCCCGGAGAATGAACGGTACACGAGGAGGGATGAAATCCGGAACGAGGGGGTAGAAAATTTGTCGATCCTGAAAATCGTTTTGCAATGTACACAGCTCTATATACATATATAAGGTCAAAATAAAATGGTTGTTCGCCTCACGTGGAGAACTACGAAGAACGGTGGAAATCGTGAAATCGTTTAGTTTCGATTTTCATTAAGCGATAGGTGCACGGCGATTCGATTCGATTGGAACGATTCGTTGATGGAGAAAGGATACGGAGGAAAGGTTGGAAAAAAGAAGTAAAAGACGTAGAAAGAATAAAAAGGGAAATTCGAAAGCATAGCAAATAACAAAAAAAAAAGTAGAATAGGAGAATACCATAGAAGACTCCAGCAGCCAGTCTAGGCCGCGTATCCAATTATTATCGAAGCGTTCTACTTCGAAGCGAATACTGGAAGAACGGGCGCTGATTTTTTTCTCTCTTCTTCTCCCTCTTTTCACTCGTCCTCTCTCTCTCTTTCTTCTGCTCTCCCATTCCGTTCCAGCCCTTGTTTTCGTCCGGCGAGTAAAAGCCGTTAGCGGTGGTGCTTTGGCATGCGACAAAAACGATGCTACTCTAGGCCTCCGTAATGGCGAGTCCAGAAGCGGATAGAGTGGTTTGTATAGGGAATGGTCGGCGGGTGGCTAGCAGAATAGCAGAATGGCTAGCTAGGCCGTCCCTCTGATTGCAGTTAATTTACTCGGCGAATCGGGTTAATGTAGCGTACAGACCGTACCGTACCATACCGTAGCGTATACCGTAGCATACAGTACAGTTCGGTTGCGTACGTGCGTAATCTCGGTACGGTAGTATCTGTGCGATCGTACGCCCTCGTGCTATATCATCAATAATATAAAGCCGGTTCAGAGTCCGCGAAAGCGAAAAAGAAAGAGAAAGCAGAACGATCGATGAAATGAGAAAAAAGTAGATTCTAGATTGAAAATTTCTCAAAGAAGCTTATCACGAAATGTATACCCTAGGCGAGTGTATAGGTACGGTACAGTAAAATCACTGGAAATTTCGATAAGCCTCCAGCAGTGCTGCCAATCGAATACAGAAGGTCTGGAGGGTTGGTAAGTGCATGCGTGAATGCATACGTTGAATCGCGTAGGTAAAGTGCTCCGTTAACGTAGATCCGCCATTATGTGCATTTACGAATGGAAGCTGGGTATATACAGATGCATCGATGCTGGTATGACTATATGTTTGATGAATATGCGACATATAGGTATACATACGTACACGTGATATGTACGATGCGGCGTTTAGAAGGCTAAAAAGGTATAGACGGTACACGTTGACGTATGCGATTCGAAAGTCGGAAAAGTAGAAAAAGATGGAGTAGGAAAGGGTTAGAAAGAGACGAGAGGGAGATAGAGGGGATAAAAGGGGAAAAAGCCATATCGTCCTCGTGTTGATTTACGCAGCGCGTCGCGCATTTTTACTGCTGCGTTATAGAGATTTAAGTGCAGCCAATTATACATTTATGCGTCCCTACGCCGCTCAAGCGACGCAACCCTCTCTGATTTCGACAGCGCCGAGCACTCTGCGCGTGAAACTCGTACGAACGCGACGTAGCCTGTACGTAAGCGGCACGGATGACTTGCGTACTGGTCCTGGGATACGTATATATGTATGTATCAGCGTCCCGACATCTTTTACGAGTATATTTAGACGGATCGAGGAAAGTCTCTCGAAGATGATCCGCTATTTCAAGCGCATCTCTTTACCCCGTGTTCTTGCTTCTTCTTTTATTTCATCTTCCTCGCGCAGCTTCTTTATCGCGCTCTTATTATCCGTCTGCTATCCCTTACTAGTTTGTCTCTTCCAGTACCCCCCCCCCCCCACCCTAGGTTCGTATCGGCCTTAAGAAATCGGGAGACAGGAGGTGCCTTTTAACCGCGAAGATCCAGTCGAGATTGGGTACCACCCTGAGATCGCTCGACACAGCATCCCACCGCCATTGGAATTTTATTCTCGCACGATCTTCGCCATCGGGACAGACGTATGACTCGTAGGGGTCAATTTATCTCGGCGCGATCGCTCGATCGACGAGCATCGACCTCAGATCACCTATAGTGGCATCCGCGCCAAGAATGATCGGGTAACTTTTGGACCCGCGACGTCCGCACAAAACGTCTTCCCCGAAGGCAAGACTCTATTTAGGGTGACTCGCTACCGCGGGCACTGTCGAAATAACCACGCATATGGCCTCCGAAAATAAACTCCTTATTCCCATCCCGGCATAACACCGAACTGAGGACCATACTCGTCTGGTACGTAGCGCGCATGCGCACGCCAGTGCGTCTCTATACGATCTGCCAGCCGAATCTCACACGAGACGCGTTACACACATGTCACGGGCCCTCATGACACTCGCTAGTGTATATAGGTAAAATCCTACCGGATACCGAGACATTTATTTGCTGCCACGCCAGTATGCCACGCGCAGGGATGGGAGAGAGAACAAAAAAAAAATGAAAATAAAAGAAAAAGATAGGACCAGGAAAAAACAAAAATGGTACAGAGAGTGAGAGTGGGGGAAGGAGGGAATGGGGTGGGGTGGGAGGGGGGTAAAATAAGAGAAAGGTAAATAAAAAAGTACGTGGCCTCTTCGGATATCGCGTTTCACGGCCGCGGATGTGGTTCTCCGCGTCACCGTCGCGTACATCTCCACGAGCTTTATGATATTTACCAAATTCTGTCTGGTACCGTCAGGATGTCGCGCGCATTTCAAACTACAACGTCTTTCTTTCCTCCTCTTTCTTTTTACTCCCTCTACACTGTTTTTCCCTTCTTCTTTTCACTACTCAAATAGAACTCGAATCGGACCCGACTTGCGACGTCCCGTCAACCCACCGCGTGACGATTTGACGAACAAAGTGACAATTGAATAGCCGAAGGAGAAATGTAAAATGAAAAGTTTTTTAGATTTTCTGGAAAAAAATGTCTAATGTATTATATATCCAATTTATGAATCCGCATCAAGACATCGAGTAATTGAGTTTGCAATTATTAATGTATATCAAGTGATAAAATAAGTGGGAAAATAATATTGCTTTATTATTATGACCCATGCATCTGACGTAAAGTGCATCGTCATATGAAATCTACTTTTCAAAAGAGAAAGATAGCTTTTGTCGCACCAAGCAAAGGCTCGCTTATGGACGTAGGATAGTAGGGATATAACGCGTACGCATCTTCCAACAACGAGAGTCTCGCATATACGTAATAGTCATGGCACGTCGCGAATCGAATATGGCGAGACACGCAATGTTTTCGCATACTCCGAATCGAGGGAGGGTCATTGCACCAAAACATGCATTCTGGCTGAGTTCGAAGCTCGACACTCTCTACGTTCGCAACGTTCTCGTGCGAGGGACACGAGTCTCTTCTCGAGCAATTCCCAACTATTTTCGGCGATGAAATATAACCTCTCTTACCGTTCTCGTCTCACCCGCCCCTCTGCGTCCCGCGTCGCTCGCTCTTTCTTTCTCTCGCCTCTATATACCTTCACTCCACCTTTAGCCCGCTCGATTTCGCGAGGACGTGCGTACACGGATTCGTACTTAATTCGCCTCTGCTTAACGGCAAGATTAATTGGCGATTGTAGATGATATGGACCGCAGCGGGCTTCCTTTATAGATGCGGGATCCCGCGGCATGCGGCGCGGTTACGGGACTCTCAAGCGCGGCTCGAGAGTTTGTCTTACAAATGAGCCGCGAGGCGCTGATGATTTAGTGCCGACTCTCATGCGTTAACCTTTGCTAGATGACGCGTGGGTGGGTGGGTGGCTAGGTACACTTTAGTCATTAGCGTGCAACCGAGTCAGTCGACTCGGTCAATGGCTAATAAATACGGCAATATTCCCGCGGTACGCTAATATACCGACTTTCAGACACCTTTGACCCTCTTGATCCGAAGTCCGAGGTCCAAACCTAAGCAGCATCCCGCTCGTGCGCAGCGTTTGTT